TGCTTATCTGTGCATCTTTTAACTGCTTTGGATAACTAGGAAAATTTCCTTGGCAGTGCTTTAAGAGGATAGGCAAAAGAGTGACATAACTCGTCGCAAGGAAGGAAAGGCTGAGGTTTTGCATTCTGCAGATTTTTAAAGTAAAAAAGAAAGTATTCTTCATTTGAACAGTCTGAAGCAGTATGCATGTGATATAAAACCTATCACCCTGCTCTGAAATGTCATCTTTGCCAGGGCTTCTCCCTTTCCTTGAACTCCCTTGCAGTATCTCGCTGGCCCTTCTGCCTGGAAGGGCGCAGGTTAGGGAGGCAGGCTGTTTGTCTCCAGCCTTTCCTAGACGCAACTATTCAAAGGCAGTTCCCAAACGGAGCAGGCACACAGTCAGTTCAAAGGCTTCCATTAGCTCTGCGGGCTAACTTGTTATCTTGTAATGTCCCCCCCTTCTGCCCTTAATGAACAGTTTGTTCCATTGTAATTCTTGTATCAAACATCTGGAAACCAGAAAACCAGACTCGGGTTAAAAAAAAAAAAAAAAAAAAAAAGTTTCAGTGCCTATGACTTATCCAGGCCTCTGTCAGTAAGAAAAAAAGAATTCAGCTGAATCAGTAAACTGACCTTTTTTTTAAAAGCACTTTGACCAACACATTTTTCTAGACTGAAATTCTACAGAGCAGCAGACACCCACTTTTCAGGATAACGCGCTCTGACCACAGCTTGCTCCTCGGTTCACAGCTGTCTCCAGCGGGAGGAGCTGAAACCTGAACCAAACCCTCCGAGCAGGGATTGGATCCCTCCTGCCAGCAGCCCCAGAGCCCTCCCAGAAAAACAGCCTCTTTGGAAAAGTGCTTGAGAACATCCCGAAGTGATTGGAGGAGCGGAAAACCCTTCCCCCCTGCACCTGACGAGGGGGTATTTACGGCACTTTTCAAGGCGCCTCTGCACTGCCACTACACAGCCCCAGCGGATGGACTGCGCGGGGCAGGCAGCGCGGTAGGGACCGATGCGCTCGCAGTGATTGCGTGTGCGTGCGTGCGTGTGTGCTGCGCACCGTGACACCCACCCGCGAGGAGAGCCTGGAAGAAGGAGAACCCCTGCATCCAAAATGCCACGCTCCTTCCTGGTCAAGAAGCATTTCAATTCATCCAAGAAGCCCAATTACAGCGAGCTGGACACTCATACAGGTAACAAAATGAAATCTAATGCCACCGCGTCGCTTCTGAGGTCGCGGTCGTTGCGTGGCAGTAATGAGGAGGGGTGGGATTGCTTTTCAGGCTTCAGGGAATGGGTTAGTTCATCGCTAGCTCTTTTTTCTTTTGCTTACAAGGAGGGAGTTTGGAGAAATATGTCAGTGCTGCCCAGAATGAATCACAAAGTTTGCTCATCCACTTGAACGCAGTTACTTAGAGAGGATTTGGAGTTTTCCTGTTCTGTATCTGCTCGTGGTGGAAATGAAACTTTTATCCAAATCCCTCAGGAAGTTTCACTGCTTCATTGTATCAGGCTGCACAGCTTTAGAAACAGCATGCGGCCTTGAAGAGACTCTCCAGCTGTAATTTGTCTGTCCAAGGGCACTGTCTCTGCCCATCAGAATGCATGTATGAAATAGTATTTCCTTAATCCTCCTTGTATTCAGATGACCATACCGGGTGTTTAATTTAGCCACCTTATAATCCCCAAAATGTTAATTTTGCTGCCTTTTGAAGTACTTTTTGCTTCTCTTACCTTAAAATTTTCTTCTTTCTCCAGTGATTATATCCCCATACCTGTATGAAAGCTATCCAGTCCCTATCATACCACAGCCAGAGATCCTGAGCTCAGTAGCTTACAATCCGATTACCGTGTGGACTACAACCGGGCTGCTACCGTCTCCATTACCCAGCGACCTCTCTCCGCTTTCTGGATACCCCTCATCTTTGGGAAGAGTCAGCCCACCTCCACCGTCTGACACCTCCTCCAAAGATCACAGTGGTTCAGAAAGTCCCATTAGTGATGAAGAAGAGAGAATCCAGTCCAAGCTTTCAGACCCCCATGCAATCGAAGCCGAAAAGTTTCAGTGCAGTTTATGTAACAAGACCTATTCAACTTTCTCTGGGTTGGCCAAACATAAGCAGCTGCACTGTGATGCCCAGTCTAGGAAATCGTTCAGCTGCAAGTACTGTGACAAGGAGTATGTCAGCCTGGGAGCGCTTAAGATGCACATCAGGACCCACACACTACCTTGTGTCTGCAAGATCTGCGGAAAGGCTTTCTCTAGACCCTGGCTACTTCAAGGACACATTAGAACTCACACTGGTAAGAAATTGCAGTTTCTTGTTGCTGTAACGTCAGGATGCCCTTTTGCTGTTTTTCTCCACAGGTGGAAAAACCAGCAGTGTTTCTTTACTAACCTTGAAATGCATACGCAGAATTTCAAATGTATCGTCAAAAGGCTAAATTCTCCCTCTTGGGGGGTGGTTGGGAGGGGAATGTAGCATGGTCTCATAACTGTGGGCCAGATACTGACATAAATCAGCATTGCTCCCTTGATAATTTTAGGACAGTTTAGGAAGGTTTTACTTTAAGGATTTTATGTTAACTTTCAGGCTTTGGAAATTGCTAGCTTTGAGAAGGCTCCAGCTGACTCTGAAATCAAGCAGCAAAACAGAAAGGCAATGCATGAGGGGCTGCTTTCTGACTCCTTAAGCAGTTGGCAAGTTTTGCAGGCACTATCTCAAGTCCTTAAGAATTAGGAACACATCATCACCAAAGCAGTCTTTTTTTTTTTTTTTTTTTTTCTTTTCTGTTGAGGCAAAAACTTGATTTTGAGTATGACACTGGGTACAGTATAATGTCTGTACTGCTCTTCGCTGCTTTTCAGTCAAAGCCCTTGTCCCAAGTAATTCACACAGCGCTAAGCAGGAGAAGTTCTACAAAAATATTTGAAAATTTTGTGAGGAGCCCAATCTAAAAGTACTGCCTGCACCTGTAGATGCAGAAGGTGTCAGCAGCTTGTCTTCAGAGACTGCACTTAGCAGCATATTCTGAAAAGACTGAGTTCTGCAAGTACAGTCAGCAGTGCTGAAAGCTGTTGTATCTGTGGCCTGATTAACTTTTTATTACACATTCTTTATTATAACAAGTCCTTTCTGTTTGTTTATTTGTTTCTTAGGATAAAAGCGGGTTCTACCTGACCTAAACATGTACTTCTTTTTTAAAGTTTTATCCTATTTTTCCTTGATGTTTCCTTTTTAGGAGAGAAGCCGTTTTCCTGTCCTCATTGCAACAGGGCTTTTGCAGACAGATCCAATCTGAGGGCTCATCTGCAGACCCACTCAGATGTGAAGAAATACCAGTGCAAAAATTGCTCCAAAACTTTCTCCAGAATGTCTCTTCTGCACAAACATGAGGAATCTGGCTGCTGTGTAGCACACTGAGTCATGCAGTCAATGTTTACCTGGACTCGATGCATTTCTCCACTCCTGTTCCAAATGATAAGTGGAAATCCAAAGGCGTTTTCTCGTCTACTTTTCAGCCAAAAAAACCCAAAACACCACCAAACAAGCAACCAAACAAAATAGTGGAAGAACTTAGAATGTCAGTAGAAATGAGCTTTAAGTAGTTTCTGTTCAGTCACACATTCACATTCCTAAGTGTGAATTCTGAAATATGGGGAAAGACACCATGCATGACATTTCAAGTAGATCTAAAGGAAGAAGCATTGTCAGCTTTCTTTATAGATGAAGCCAAATGTAGGTCGTCTTTTCTTGCTTAGAAAAGGCTGCAAAGTTAACAATACATTCCTGCCAAGCCATTTCAACCAAAGAAACAGTATTTTAAGTGGAACTTTTAATAAAAATACTACCCAAGTGAATTTTGCTAGACACCATTTATCTCAGGTGCCTTAAAAAGTATTCCAAGTTTACCTTAGTAAATGTTTAATATTATTCATTGCTGTGTTTTTTATTTTATTAGAAGCCAAGGCCTTCATTAATGATCTGAAATGCTTTAAAATTGCATCATTAAGAGAGGAAAAAAAAAAACCCCATGTAATAGAATGTACGAAAAATTGAAAGCCACAAATTAACTGCATGTGCCTTTTAAAAAAAAAAAAAAAGACTGTAGCTTCAAACATTCCTGGTGCATGCTTGACCATCTTTTAATATGGAATAGTTCCTCTAAACTTTAATCTTTTTTTAAAAATGGGAATAAGTGCAAGAGAGGGGGTTCATGGGAGTTTGACAATTATTTTTTTTAAATGCACAAAGGAAATGCAATATTTTCAGCATTACCCCTCCAAGTGCCTTTTTTATTGATGATTTTGTAAAGTATGTGGACATAATGTAAATATTTTTATTTTTATATGATTGAATGTGTTATGAATGAAAGTGAATTGTTGCCTATAGCAGCATCTATAGATAACTTGAAGAAAGTGTGAAGTGGAATTTATGTTGTTTTCTAGCCACTTTTTTACAATAAACATTTTTAAGTAAGATTTCTGTCGTTTGTTCTAATTAAAGAAAACAACTGTGTCTGGTTTATCAAGGTTTTGGAACATAGAAAATTTCAAGTGTCTCTACATGACCAAAGGAAGATAAAAGTGAATTTAAGATGTGAATCCTTAGTTCACAAGTACTGAACATGAGAAAGGAATATACCCATTGCATTTTAAAACATTTAAAACCACACAGAGCATTTTTCTAGGGTGACTGCTTCAAAAAACACTGTTGCTTTTTTGCTGCTTGCAACAGTATGACAACATTGTGAAATATATTTTATCAAAAACATTTAAAAGAAACTTCTTTCTTGCATTTTAACAGTTGAAAGGGTGCTATTAGAGCAGTGTTATTGTAACTCTGGCATTAGGAAATCTGGGTCATTAAAGTCAGTGGAGCCTTACAGGAGTTCAGTAAAGTTTGCATGATGCTCTTTTAAAGTAGTGGTCAAGTCACAGTACGATGTACTTTATATGGTCATTTCAGAAAGATTAAAGATATCTTCATTAAAGTATCTTACATACCAGAACTGTCAAATGAATGTATTATGACTGTATATCAGCTGATATATCACAGGAATTATCCAGTACAGATGATTTGACTAAGGACTCCAAGATCTGAACTATATAAAAGCATTACAACATCAACAAATCACGTCTCATCATTACTGACTAGTGCAAAACACTACTTTCAACTTTTAACAAAGCACAAAGCTCAAAACCAAATAGGCACTAGCTGGTGTCCAATCTAAAGAGGACTATGTCTACATTAGGGTACCAGCAGGAGCAAGTAATAGCAAACCCAGAATTCCAACAATTTAAGAAGAATATTACAGTTGGATAAACACAAGGTGCAAATTTCTAGAAAAAGAGCTCATTTCAGTAACATAATGCAACAGACCATGCAAGCCTTGTGTCTCCTCCAGCTGAGTCCTGCA